GCCCTCCTTCAGATGAGATGTTAAACCAAGGACCCATGTCTGCCTGTTCAGTTTGGATGTTAAAGATCCCATGAAATCTGCAGAGAAGGGAATTTCTCTCTCCCGGTGTCTTGGTCAACAATCCCCAAATAAAACCGGTCACTCACTGTTTGTGTGACATCGCTGTATGCAAAATAGGCTGCCACCTTTGCCTATAAAACACACAGATATTGCACTTTACAATATATTCTTGAAGCACTTTGAGATGCCTTGGTGACATCATCGGCAGACATGGGGTAAATTTCCATATGTATGCGGATGTCACCCAACTCTACCTCTCTGCCTCCACCCTGAACTCCAGGATTACTGAGGTCCTGACCGACTGCCTGTCCAACATCTAGTCCTGGACGAGGGCCAACTTTCTCCAACTCAACGTCAGCAAGACCGAGGCTCTCCTGATTGGCTCGCGCCAGCGCCTCCGCACCTCAAGCGCTGGCAGCATCAGCCTCCGAGGCTGCACACTCAACCTCACTAAGCCAGTCAGGAACCTGGGTGTCTTGTTTGACCCTGAACTGTCCTTTCTCCCCCACATCCACGCCCTGACCGGCACTGCCTACCACCACCTCCGCAACATTGCCAGACTCCGCCATTGCCTCACCCCTCAGGCTGCCGAACCCCTCACCCACGCATCCATCACCTCAAGGCTTGATTACAGGAACTCCCTTCTCATCAGCCTTCCCAACTGCAAGCTGCAGATCATCCCAAACTCCGCAGCTTGTGTACTCTCATGCACCGGTTCCGAGACCCCATCACTCCCACCCTCGCCTGACTCCACTGGCTCCCCATCCCCCAGAGGATCGAGTTCAAGATCCTCGTCCTCACCTTCAAGGCCACCCATGGCCTTGCCCCCTCCTACCTCTCTGACCTGCTGACTCCCTACCAACCTGCGCGCTCCCTCCATTCATCAGGCTCCAGCCTGTTCCATGTCTCCCGCCCGACCCTCCCTACCATCGGTGGCCGGCTTTCAGCCTCTCTGCCCCCACACTCTGGAACTCCATCCCACAGTCCCTTCGCCTCGCTTCCTCCCTTGCCTCCTTCAAGGCCAGTGTCAAGACCCTTCTCTTCAACCGTGCCTTTGGTCTCCCTCCCACCTCTCTGCCTTCACCACACCTCCCCTTATGCTCGTGGCCCTGATTGTTCAGCGCTTTGGGACTTACTCCCGACGTGAAAGGCACTCTATAAATGTAATTTTGTTGTTTTTGTTGTAGTCTCAATGACGTGATACAGCGCTATATCAAATGCAATATCTGTCTGACTGTCTACGTGCCTGTCTAGCTGGGTCTCTCTTTACAGAGGAGAGCTGAGCAAAGATACGACAACAGCCATAAAACAGAGTCAAAGTAGTTTAGAGGCAGGTGAGAGCATGGTCAGGGAGAGCAGAGAAAGAAAGATGGAGATAACAAGGAAAAATAATTTCAAAATACCTTCTGGTGTCTCATCCGGAAACTTGTTCTTCCGCATGGTCAAGTGACTGTTGTAAAGGAGGTGTGAGTCCCTCATCTTACAGGCTGACATGGATCCAATACTCACAATCCTTAGAGCTCTTAGTTTCCGTTTGCCTCTCAGCCTTTCTCTCTGGGACTCTCGTTAAGTCTCTCAAGATCTGCGTTTGCGTGTCTTTCTCTCTGGGTCTTTCTCGGTCTCAATCTTTCTGGTTCTCTGTCTATATGTCTGTTGACTCTTTCTCTGGGTGTCTGTCTGTCTATCTCTCTCTGGCTTCTGCTCTTAGCCTGATATCTTATAATGAAATGCTAGACTATGGCTGATCGTTTTCTGAGTGGGACTGAGAGACACAGACAGGGTAAGATCCCTTTAACCTGACAGCCAGCACACTGACCTGACCCTTCACAGTCACAGCACTAATCCTTCCCCAATAATACACATCCCAAATATCTGCTAGAGGAAGAGAAGAGCTTCCTGTCACAGATGGGGATGGGGTTAGACACTAAATACACTGCTGTGGAGAGTGAATATCATTGATGTAATGTGAACTCTCTGAAGTGCAGCCAAGTGTTGATTGAGCCTCTCCACTGTCTGTGAGGATTTCAGTTTCACAGCACCCTCACACCCCATCATGGGCCTGAACTCACTCCCTCCTGGTCTCAGGTCTCAGCCTGCAGGATTGCTTTTGTCTTAAGTTTGAAAATAATCATCCTTGCATTTATCACATCATTGAGATGTCTCAAAGCGCTTCACAGGATTTAGTAGAAAAGGCAATGATTGTGTGATTTGTGAGTGAATGCAGCAGTCAAGTTTGCGCACAGCAAAGACACAAAGCACTATTTTATCCAGGGTATTGTTCTCCTGGACACTGGGAGAGAGAAACTACCTTTTTGAATAGTGCTATGGGACCTTTAACATCCACCTGAACAGGCAGGCTTGGTTTAACATCTCATACGAAGGATGGCACCTCTGACAAACCAACACCCCACATCCCCCCAGGACTGCATTGGAGCATCAGCTTAGACTGTGTGATTCCAAGTCCCAGTGTGGGGCTTGAACCCAGAACCTTGACTCAGAGGCGAGAGTGCTAACACTGCGCCAGGCTAAGAGTCAGCACCTTGGGGACAGGAGGACATGATAGCAAAAAAAATATCGGATTCTCCCAGATTAAATAGAAAGGGCTCGGTGTGTACACTGAATGGAAAACTCTGGTCAAAGATTGATGGGAATCAATGCTTCCGACTTTGCGAATTCTAGGTGAGCTTAGCTAGTATGAACCTTTCCTGTGAATCTTCGGATATTTCTTTGCGCAGATTGGCTGCCGCATTCACCCACAAATACAGTCACACACTTTGCAGTACATCCTTTGTCCAGCACCTTGGGCCGTCCTCCTGACATGAAAGGCGCTTTGTTGTTGTTGTATCTTTACGCGGTGTAAATACTCACCACTGGAATCCTGGCTTTGATCAGCAAACAGGCTCCTGACACCCGGTAGCCATATCGACAGGTCAGCTTTCTCACAACGTGGATTGAGAGTGCATCTGTGATAGGAAATCCCCACTTCTATTCATTTACCTTCTACAGGGGGTTCACAAATTTCACAAAGTCCTGTTACCCCAACCCCCCATGATTTTTTTTGCAGAACACTGACCAACAACTGAAATATATAGAAAAATGATAATTGTATTTAGAAGTACTTCATTGTATTCAGTACAAGTGTTTAACTGGATTTAGACTTCCAGAAGATCATTGTGCGTGAGCGCCATCAATTTCATGGCATAGATCCTCGCCATGTTTTGTGCAACTTAGGACACTGCTGCGCGCAATTGCCTGCTGCTTTTCACCCATAAAATAGTCAATTGACTTTACAATATATTTTGTGAAGCGCTTTGTGATGTCTCAACGACGCAATAAGGGCCTATACCAAATGCAAGGACTATTATTATTATCTTCCATAATATGGATGGAATGATGAGGCAAAATGCATCTCTGACAGCTTATTTTAGCGCCTCTGTAGTCTCATATCGCTGTTTTGTAGCTGGGGGTAACAGGACATTGTGCATCATGAGGACATCTCAAAATGCTCCGTGCAACTGAGCAACTCATTGCGGTGTGGAGGGCAGGATAGCTTGGTGGAATTGACATGTCATCAAAGAACCACTCCAATTATATATTATCTTTATTTATAAATATTTCAAACTGCTTTTTTGTTTAATTTTATACACCGTACAAAAGTTAACGTATCTGAAAAGAAAGAGGTGCCGCGGGGACTAATGTTGTATTGTAATTACAATGGCACACATAGTTGTGTGGAGGTGACCCCTTCCTGCCTCTTGAGCTCAGAGACACATGGAGAGGATGGGAATTCTATTTACACAGTGAAATGTGGGAAGAAACAGGGAAACAAAGACAGAGAGAAAGGCAGACAAAGAGGGTGTTCATACTAATAAAGATACACAAATTTACCCTTTTTTAAAAAAATAACCAAGTACAAAAACGTATAATCTGGTTAGATGAACAATTTGCGATTTTGTTAAAAAAAACTTTTTAAAAAAAATCACTTTTTGCTCCCCTGGTGGTTCTAATAATTATAAGTAACTTAAAACAGTTTGCCTGAACTGGCTCTTTAAAATGGGAACATTTGTTTCATTAAAATCTGAATTTTACAATAATCAACATTAAAACAGAACTTTTCATTTTTCCCTTATTACAATATAGACAGATGGAATTGGAAGGAAGCTGGGGAACATTTAGACTTGCAATCTCTGAGGGAGAGAGTGTGTGTGTTTGTGGGGGCAAAAGAGAGAAAGGGGGGCAAAAAGAGAGAAAGGCGGGGGGGAAAGGGGAAAGGAAGGGAGGGGAAGGGGAAAGAAAGGAAGTGAATGGGGAAAGGAAGGGAGTGAAAGGAAGGGGAAAGGGGGGGGAGAGAAAGGGGGGGGAAGAGAGAAAGGGGGGGGAGAGAGAAAGGGGGGGGAGAGAGAAAGGGGGGGAAAAGAAGAGAGAAAGGGAGGAAAAAAAGAGGGAAAGGCAGGGGGCAGAGACAATATCAGATTTCCTGGTCCAGATCGATTTTTTAAAACTATTTACATTTTTTACATAATTTGTCCTCAAAGTTTGAGGCGAGACCCAGAGCAGCACATTTACACCCGACCACGAATGAGACTATTTACAGGGGAAGAAAAGCTGGAGTAATAAATTTACTTAAAGTAACAAAAAAAATATAAAAATATTGAATTCTCGAAAAGGCTCGCGAGGCTGCGTTACATATCACTGGAATCAACCGCTCCACCATAAAAACTGGGGCTTAGTTCCTTCTGCTTATCTCAGGGAGGCAGGCAAAGAGCAAGAGAGACAGAGGGCAGAGAGAGAGATACACAGACAGACAGATGGAGGGGAGAGAGAGACTGAGAGGAGAAAGAGGCGGGAGGGGGAAGAGAGATACAGATACACAGATAGAGAGGGAAAGGGAGAGAGAGAGATGGGGACAAAGAGGGGCAAGGAAAGAGAAGGGGGACAGAGAAGAGAAACAAATGGGGAGACACGGGAGAGGAGAACGAGACAGAGAAGAGCGGGGTAATAGGTAGACCAGTTCTCCTGGCCAGCACCAGTTCAGGTTTGGCCACTGGGTTAGTCCCGGTTGGTATTGTTGGCAGCAAACGCGTGAAGGTTTCCCATCTGGCTCAGGCCACTTTGGATGTGTGCCACGTGGATCTCCACATTGTTCTGAAAGCAACTGGAGAAAAGCAGAGGAGAACATGGTCAGAGCTCTGCCTTTCCTGTGCTCACGGCAGCTGTGATCCAAACCGTCTCGTAGATTTAGACATTTACACTGTTCAAGTCACACCACAATACAGCCAGCTCCTCATTACACTGTCCACGTCACACCAATACAGCCAGCTCCTTGTTACACTTTCATGTCACATTAGTCACGACACCAATTGATCATGGTGATCAGTCATTATCACAAGCAGATCATCTGATCAGGGATGGGTTTCCGCATGTGTCAGACACTCGGCTGATTACAGTGATGGGTTTCCATGTGTGTCAGACATTGCGTATTTTGGAATGGAATGTGCACTCTTTCCTTGGAGGGACGCACCCTGCTTACCTAATTCCGGAGAGTATTGGCCGCAGGTTGGCAAGAGTCAAGGTTTGGGGATCCTAGAATGTGCATTGGAGTTTAAGCAGTTAAACCCGTCTAGCTTGTCATTGAAGGCACTGTCTAGCGCTGTGTAAATGCAAGCTGTCGCGAAGGAGTCCTGGAGCCAGAGTGATCCTACCTTACGTTGGAAGAGTCTATGGAACTCTTGATGTCGTTCAAAGAATCCGTCAAGGACTTAAACTCAAAAGAGTTTAAATCACCTCCTTCTGACAGACACTGGAAGAAAAGATCGCTTTATACCGCTCTACTTAGATACTCGCCACAGGCAATCTCACAAAAGAGACCCCACTCCACCCACCATCCCAAGACCACAGGACACCCAACAGCGGATCCAACAAGATCACACCAGCGCTTACAGAATTGATTATAAAAGGTCTGAATTTTTAGGTTCTTTCAACGAAAAATTACACCAATGTTATCAGTACCCAGAGAGAGAGAGAGACTGACAGACAGAGGAGGGAGGGGGAATAGAGAGAGAGAGAGGGGGAGGAGGGCAGAGAGCATGCAACAGGAGGGAGACAACAATAGAGGGTAGGTGAGCAGGAAGCGAGCAAATGAAAGGGGAGAGGGGTGGGGGAAAGAGAGAGAGAGAGAGAGGAAGAGAAAACATGAGAGCATGTGTGAGGCCATTTGGCCTATTTCAGAAGGCTCCCGTTTGGGGGAGCGCCAGACTGACTGACTCACTTTGATCTGGAGAAGTACTGCTGTGAGCCTGGCCACGAGGTCTGTGAGACTCTCGCTCCGGACGCTGTCCTGTCCTGTTTGAGTCGTGTTGGCTTGCCGAACCAGCTCATGAGCCTCCTCCTCACACCTCCGCCGCATGTCCGTGGGCTGATCCATCGGCTGCAAACCCTGCTCAGGGGCAAGCTATGGTCCATATGCATACAGGGTCAGTTACATATCACCCCCTCCTCCCCTCAGCACCCGCTCTCTTTCATTGTACACACCACACCTGCTTACCCCGAACACACACACTACACCCCACCCACCACACACACACACACAGCAGGGAAAGTGCTCACCTCGTGGCAGTGCTGTTGCACTTTCTGAAGGACTTTGTTCAAATCTTTGTTCAGCTGCTCCAGCTCTAGCACGATGGTCGCGTATCGTTTCTGAAAGTCAATTCCGATGGAGGCAGAGTAGGATTTCTGAGGGCGGGATGGGGGGGGGGGAAGAAAGAAAGGGAGGTGGGGGGAAAAAAGAGAAGGAAAAAACAGTCTGGCTTTGTGCTTTCAACGAAAGAAAACCACGTTTCTATAGAACTGAATCCGGATGGCTCTGTCACCTCGCTGGTGGATTGAGAAGGAACTTCCACTTCCCTTTCCCCTTCTCCCTTGATCATGTTTTAATTCTCATCATTCTGGAGCACTTCACCAAGCAGTGACATTGACGTGTAATGGCTGTCGCTTTGGAGGCAGGCAATTTGAGTCCACGAGAAGCAATGAGACGAAGAAACATTGGAAAGTTGACCAGGGCACAGAGAGCAACTCTCTGTAATTGGGTTCTTTAAAATTTGCAAGAGCGATCAGAACATGCAAGTGGGTTTACCCGTTCATCTAAAGCACAGCACCTCTTGCCATGCTGCTCTCCCCCCAGTACTGCACTGGAAGGTCAGCCTGAGCTGTCAGCTCAAGTTCCCGATGTGTGGCTTGGAGATACTGCTCACATAATAATAATCTGTGCTCAGTTATAATAATAATACTTGCATTTGATTTAGCGCCTTATCATGTCGTTGAGACATCTCAAAGAGCTTCACAGAATATACTGTAACGTGAATTCACTCTGTATTTTATGGGCGAAACACAGCAGCTAATTGCGCACAGCAGTGTCCCACAAACAGTCATGCATTGAGTGACCAAATCATTGTTTTTTTTGGGGGGCGGAGTAGGGGAAGGAGTATTATTACCCCTGGAAAGTGATCCGCCAATCGACTAACAACCGGGATCCTGCTCACTTGTAGGTAAATAGAAGGGCGCCATTTAAATGAAAACGAAGAGGCAAGAGAGGGACAGACTGAGCCTGTCTGACACACAATCATCTAATTCACTTTTAAAATAGCTGAGCTTCAAACTTGTTTTTGAGTAATGAAAACCCTTAAGTTTGACATAGCCCCTAACACATCAGGAAGGCTTCACAGCATGTGACTGTTTCCTTTAGCTAATGCTTGTAACAGAGTATTTGACAGATCACTTACCAGCTTCTCTGCTTCTGCGTTCATTTCCTTCAGCTGTTTGATGTGTTCTTTCTTGATCATGAGAATTTTTGACAATCTCGTCTGAGAGAGAGAGAGAGAAAAAGATACTACACAGGAACTTCATAACAGAGAAACCATACCAGGGAGGGAGCACCTTCTTTTGGTTAGGCGTGTGTCTGACACATGTGAAAACCCATTACCTGGGCCAATAGAAAAGTGCGGGTGCATTTTTTTCCGCAAAATCCACTACAAACCCACTATAAAATTAAATTTCTTGCCCCAGGCCTCTTGCTGTTTACTCAATGCAACTGAGGACGTGGTGCAGTGCAAACGGGAAATAGTCTTCACTCGGAGACCCTGCTGTTGAGATTGTTTGTGTGTATCTCTTACTATGTGTTTGTGAGTGTTTCAACGTAAGTGTGTCTCTCTATGTTTGTGAGTGTCTCTCTCTTTCTCTCTATGTTTGTGAGTGTCTCTCTCTCTTGCTCTCTATTTTTGTGAGTGTCTATGTGAGTGTGTCTCTTCATGTTTGTGAGTGTCTATGAGAGTGTGTCTCTCTCTCGCTATGTGTTTGTTAGCGTCTCTGTGTGAGTGTATCTCTCTCTCCTCCGTATGTGCATATGTGTTTGTGAGCGTCTATCTGAGAATGTCTCTCTCCTCTGTATGTGTGTTTGTTTCTCTCTCTCTTTGTATGTTGGGGAGTATGTGCGTCAGTGTGTCTGTGTCTCTCTCCTCTGTACGTATGTGTTTGTGAGTGTGTCTGTGTATGTCTCTCCTGTGTGTTTATGAGTGTCTCTGTGTATCTCTCTCTCCTCTGTCTGTATGTGTATGTCTCTTTGTGTCTATTATCGTGTGCGTCTCCCTCTCTGTCCGAGAATGTGTGTCGCTGTGTCTGTGAGTGTGGTTTGGGCAATTTTTCTACACTTTTCTATTGGCCCAGCCCTTCACCATGCTTAAAAGAAGCAAACCAAACAGAGTTCAAAATACGTCATCTACACAATGGAAAATTCCCTGCGTTTGGAATTCAAATGTTCACTTTCCCTGGAGGGACACACCTGCTTAACTTGACTCAATTCCTACATTCCGTTGCCAAGCACGTCACTCTGCAACCAGCTGAGCTCTAAGGAATACTCGCTCCCCATTCCCCCCAGGAGAAGTCGTTATCTATAGCACCTCAGATTCTTTCTTCCCCTCCCCGATGACATTCCCCCTTCCCCCTCTGGAGACTTGACTTTACTCTGAGGGTGCAGTTCTATGAATGTCAGATGATTGCCAGTATTCCCACTGAAGCAGCCATTATTATTGCTCTGATTCACAGGTTAGTGTGACTGTTGGAGCTGAGCTGATACATGCCAGGCCAGGCCGACACACGCCAGGCCAGGCCAATACAATAATGCAGAGGGAAGTTTAGTTTCAAAAGCACTTACCACCTGGATGAGGAACTCAATAGGAAAGCCCCCGAGAGTGTCTTTGTCAGTCCCCGACAGTTTGCTTTTCCAAGGTGACTGACCCAGGAGAGGGTCGTTATCCTGTGCAGCACAAAAAGGCAGTGTGAGTACTGTGTGAGTACTGAGCGCAGAAGAAACAAGCTTTCAGCTCCCACTCCCAAAACATCACTGCAGTCTATTACTCTGGAGATGCAAACCATATGTAAATGCTGGTTCTTGCTTGGCACTTGTCAGCGCCTTCTCATGCAGGCGGTGACAGAAGCAAACTACTTGGATGTACACTCCACCTCGCAGAGCCTGTGGGGAAACCTTGGTGTCTGGGTCAACCCTCAACTGTCCTTTAAACTCTGCATCCGTGCTCTCACCTGCTCAACTCTGCCACTGAGACCCTAATCTAGCATTCATCACGTCCAAACTAGATCACGCCAACTCTCTGTTCGGCGGACTATCTACCTCTTCCCTTCACTAGCTGAAACTATCCATACTCTGCAGCTTGTGTCCTTTCCTGCATTAGGCTCCACGAGCCTATCAACCCCATACTCACCCGGCTCCACTGGCTCCCCTAACGGATCGAGTTCAAGATCCTCATCCTCACCTTCATGGTCCTTGCCCTCCTTAAATCCTACCAACATGGCTGCTCCCTCCATTCAGTAGACACCAGCCTGCTTCACATCCCCCACGCCACCATTGGCAATCGGGGTTTCAGCAAATCTACTCTCACTCTCTGGAATACCATCCTGGAATCCCTTTGCCTTGCCCCCTCACTTGCCTCCTTCAAGGTGTACTTCATATTTGGTCATCCTCCCACCCCCTCAGCCCCCACCCCCATCTCGGGTTCAAACCCTGGACTATCCAGCACCTTGGAATGTCTTCCCAACATGAAAGGCACTATATAAATGTAATTTGTATTGCTTCTTTGGGACTGAGTTGGCTCCAAGATAACATACCTGGAAACAGAAGATTGAAATTGAGTCGACCTTCTAATCTGCTGCTTCAAAAACATTGCCAACAACAACTTATTATATACAGTGCCTTTCACGCATTTCGGGTAGCATCTCAGTGATGAAATTCCCGTCACCATACTTAAGAGTATCCAAACCAAAACACTTTGACAATTCCAAACACCTGGTTGATCAAAAAAACAAGAACCATTTCCTCTGTACATGGCTCACAATAAATGTATTTACACATGGCTTACACGTGGCTTGCACACGATTTGCACAAGGTTTATCAATGTTAAACAAACTGTTTACACAAGGTTCTTACCGTGATGGGAGACTGAACACTGCTAATGTAAGGCAGCCGAGGTGGCGTTAAGTAATATCTGGAAGGTCGTTGCTTCTGGGCAAAGGCAGTGATGGGCATGGTTTCATGAGGCTCGTTACTCTGAAGGAAATTGAGAGGAAAATCTATGTAAATACTAGAGAAACAGCAGGAGCATTTGATACAGCGCCTTTAATGTCGAGACAACTCAAAGTGCTTCGCGGGGTATTGTTTTAAAGCGCTGTGACTGTAACTGGCCTGATTTGTGTGCCTCATCCTCCCCACCCTTCCATCGGCGGGATGGCTTTCAGACTTTCATAATAATTATGATTAGAAAGAAGGGAGCTTCTCCCAGTGTTCTGGCCAGTAGTCCTCTAGATTACCTAGCCTCTCTCCACCCTGCTGCTTGTGGGACCTCGCTGATGCAAATGGCTGCCACATTTGCCTATGAACGTAGTGATTGCACTCGACAGCAGTCACTGCAAAACACTTTGAGGTGTTTTGACAAGGAACTGAAAATGGAAGTTTTTCTTCACGTTACTATCCAGGGCGATAATCAAAACTAAAATTGGACCTCCAGCATGCAGAAATATTTCTGAGGTATTTCAGTAACAAAAGGCCACCCACCAAGCGCTGAAAGGTACTTACGAGAACTTCATAGTCAGGTACAGTATGTGTCCCCAGCCCCATCCGGTCAAACGTTACTCTGTATGTGGCATTGATGGTATCAACAGCATCGATCTGTCCAGTAAACAGACCGTCGTGAAGACCTCGGAGCCGTGCTAAAAGATTTTTTTTTGGGGGGGGGGTGGGAACAGAATAATTTCAGGCAAATTGTTTGTCCATCTAACTACCTACCCAATTTCTCACAAGACTCCTTCAACACATCCATCTTTAAATCTCGTCCACCTAACCACAAGATGTCCTTAACACGCATCTCTAAAGTCTCATTATCTTCCTTCAACATTCCCATCCCTGCCCAGCTCCGTAGCAGACTGATTTTAAGATCCTAGGTCGTACCTACAAATGCCACTTTGGCCTTGCCCCACCCTATCCATCTCTGTGATATCCTGCAGTTCCACCCCCACCCCCTCTCACACTCTGCCACAGACCATTTCTACCTGCGTGGAGTAGGCATTCCATACAAATAGAAATTTCTACACATATGTGAAACCTCCACCTTTGTCATCCCACAGTGGTTGCGATTTCAGCCTATCTAGTCCCATCTGGAGTCACTTCGCCTCACCCCTTTAGGTCTGTCTCAAGACCTTCCTGTTTGACCAACACCTTCAAGGGGATATTAATATGCCTCCCCCCAACCTTTACTTCAAACAACAGATTTTTTCTCCTGGTTCTACTGGTTTATATTCCCTCACAATCCCATCTAACTGGCTCTCCACCCAAACTAACTGGCTCCTCATCCCACTGTGTTGCGTGGATGCTGCTGGTGCAGATGCTTCCTAAGTAACGACATCCATTTTGATCTCATTCGGTAAAGTACTTTGACACGTTCCACTGATGTGATTGGCACAGTGTAAATTCAGGTTGCTATCGCAATCCAAAATTTCATCACTTTTGTTGCTCACTTCCTAAAGAAAACAAGTGAAAGAAATCAGACTCACCAGTTACTTTTGTGCCTATCACCAGAGGCAGCGGGATCTCCTCGGGAAGATCTTTGAATGGGGACAGCTCTGTCACTTTTCTCTGTTGCAGAAGCCGGATTTTATGCCGTTTCTGTTGCAAGGCTGATCGCTCCTCCGCAAAGAACGCTGCCGAGCAGCTGTGGCACAAGAGAGCGGCTTAGGACAACGACACACATGATCAGCATTCAGTTCGCCCCCCCACCTACCCCCACGCAGAAAGTACTTTTTGTTCAACCGAAAGGGGAGGGAAACAGTTTCAACAAGTGCCGCAGTCTATAATAATTGCTATTATTCATATTCAACAGTGAGGGCTGGCATACTATACTGCACATATCACAGGGTGTGCTTTGTGGGCGAACGCAGCAGCCAGTTGGTGCACAGTAACATCCCACAAACAGCGCTGAAGAGAGTGACCAATTTTATCTGGGGGATGGTTGGCCAGGACACTGGGAGAGAGAAACTTCCTTCTGTTTTCCAATAGCGCCATGGTATCTTTGATGTCCACCTGAACAGGCATAGACAGTTTAAAGTCTGTTTAGAGTCTCACCTGAAGGACAGCATCTCCAGCAATGCAACTCACCCCCAGCACCTCACTGAAGTGTGGGCTTAGATGATATAAATTTAAGCCCCTTCGTGGAGCTTGAATCCCAAATCTTCAGACTCAAAAACCCAAGTAATACCAACTGCTGGCAAGATTAGCTCAAAGTACTAGTGCTAGCTCAGAGTACCAAATATTTTGAACAAAATCATACAAATGCCATAATGGATATGAAGTCACAACCTCAAGGAAGTTTGTAAAGTGCCTTGGGCCATCCTCCTGATGCGAAAGGTGCCATATAAATGTACAATTCTATTATATCTTCCATTCCTTACCGCCTGGGTTTGCCCATGAGCCTTCGAATCTTCCCCCATTCCACTCTGGTCAGCTTTCTGGTTTTGAGGTTGGGGAATGACTCCTTCAGGCACACACAGAAGTCATTGTCTCCCTCGAAAAGAGGCCTGTTAAAAATAACCAACGGACCATTAACACAGGGCAAGAAAAAAAAACACTACAGGACATATCAGCATACACAAGAATGTTTTAAAAAAAGTTTAGTATGTAGCATACTTGTCAACGTTCGAGTAAAACCATTCATATATACACCACTTGTGTGCCTTGGGGAGTTTTAGGAGGTTACGCAAACGCAATCCAATCTTCTGGGCAGCCTTCTTGTCCGGCGTCCCCATGCCAGCAGAGAATTTCTGGATAGACATTTATATTTATTAAAAAAATACATAAATGTAATAAGAAATATTGTATTTACAACAACTTATGAAGGTTATTTCATGAAGTTAAACATCACAAACTGCATTCCAGGGATACAAGGGTTTGTATGGTATGCTAGTACTCACACAAGATCGTTGTGAGTTTATAGTTGATCAGCAGAGTGTGTGAGACAAACAAAAACCCCAAACTATGCTTAAGAGTTTCTAAACCAAACAATTGAGAGTTCCACGTAAAGCAGGGTTTCCGTTTGTCATAGTTTGTCATCCTACTTGGAATTTGGCTACTTTGGCTTTGGAATACATAGTTATCAGTGGGAGGAATCCCTGCCCCCAGTGGCTGGTCTGCAACTCCAAGGCCTGTTGAACCAAGGTGAGTCATCAACAGTTCCCTGGAGAAGTGCGGACCCATCTGGCTCAGGAATCGATCTCGCCCGTTGAGCACAGAAGGCTGACTGAATTCCCACAATTGCCAGGGATGTTAGACACATGTGGAAACCAATCCCCATGTTTAAGAGTATCCAAACCCAAGCTGATATTTCCATGCATCCCACCTACACATGAAATCCCAGAGATAGACTGTTGGAATGGAATGTGCACTCTCTCCCTGGAGGGATGAATCCTGCCCACTTTCCGGGAGGTATTAGTTGCAGGTTGTTAAAAGCTAAGGCTTGGGGATTCCAGAGTGTGCATCGGGGTAACTACTGGAGTCCAGCCAGCTAAAAGTGCATATCTTGCCATTGATAACATCACTGTTTGGCAAGCAGGAAAAGCAGTGAATTTGCTGTCAAGTGTAGCGACTATATATTTGTACAGGCGCACACAGCAGCCAATTTGCAGTGCTGCCAACTGAGCCAAGCTCACACTCTATTCTGCAAATACATCCGTCCATCTCTGCACGTCACTCAATGGGTGGCTAGCTTGCAGAAAGGATGCTGTCCATACCTGAGGTTGCATTGCAATCCTCTGGTTCCTTTTCGGAGATTTCATGTTCTGTAATTGCCTCTCTTCGTCCTCACTGAAGAGACGACTCCTTTTGGAGCTTCGAGTTGGCTGAATGGATTGAATAATGCAGTTAGACAGCGTAAACCACCCAAAGCAACAACTTGCAGTTAAACAGCATCATTCACACAGGATGAACGTCTCAAATCGCTTTACAAAGATGATGAGGGATAACAAACTGTGAGGAAAGGAAGGTGGAGCTGAGTGAATAGGTGGTGGAGAAGGCTATAGGGGTCACAGTGTTGAAGGCGGTAGAGAGGCAAGAACAAGGAAGCAGAGAGAGCCCTGGTCACAGATGGTGAGGCCAGAGGAGTCTCTGTACTGTGGGCAAAACGTAAACCAGATTGGGAAGCACATCCAGGGAGAGGAAAGAACGAAGTAATAACTCATTCCAGAACCTCGGGGAGGAAAGGCAGGTTAGCGATGGGTTGGTAATTTGAGAGCACGGAAAGGTTGAGAGAGTTTTTTTTTGAGAGGGGTATGTGGGGGACAGCTGATGATAAGAAGGAAGTGTGAACTGGACCAGGGAAGACTGAGCAGGTTCACAGTGTCCACCAGCTGTGGGCAAAGAGGTGAAGCTGGTGATCAGGAGAGAGGTGAGGATGGGTGCCAGTGGTGGTTTCCATACGGCGGAGGGAGGAGAATGCAAGAGAGAAAGGTGTGGAGGAAAGAGTGGGTATAAGCTGGAGCGGACGGGGAGGGTCAGAGACAGCAAAGAGGATCTTCACGATTCTGGACCCGTGGACGTCCATCATTTAGTGTTAAATAATCTGACTTCTCCTTTTCTACAAGTTCAATGATGGCAGTGACGCAGCTTTGGGAGCCCCGACCGATATGTATGCATGTGTGTGTGTGGGGTGGGGGTAAGAGGGGGTAGGGAGGGGCAGAGAGAAGCTGGGTCGACAGACATTTGCTGAAACATGACAAGGTTGGAATTTGCAATGGTGTGATAATTATCAGTCACATCACACATTTTATTTGACATTCTGTATTACTGTTGTATGCCACGTGCTGGAACCAAAATACAGTCACACCACTTTAACTTTCCTGTGAAGCTCTTTGAGACGTCTCAACAATGTGATAAGGCGCTGAATCAAATGCAACAATTATTACTATAATAGTTCTAATATACATTTTAAAACTGCATTTTTATAACCCTATCATATCAAAACTTCTTAAAGAATTTCACAGGAAATTACTTTTAACAAGAGTGGTGAGTAGTATTTTAGTCAAGCACAACAATTATTTTGCGCACAGCAAAGTGCCACATAATGTACCACAAGTGAATGATCAATATAGCTGTCCAGGACACAGGGAGAATCTCTCTTGGCAATAGTGCCATGAAATCTTTAATGTCCAGGCAGACAGGACCCTGTTTTAACATCTCATCAGAAGCAAGGCACCTCTTATAATGCAACAATCTCACCGCCCCCATCATTATTGCATTGGACTGAATCCAAAGTGCCAACATGGGGCTTGAACCCCAAACTTCTGACCTCCAGATGAGTGTTACCAACTGAGCCAGGCTGACATCAGCATGAATTTCCTGTGTAGTGCTTTGAGACGTTTTGATGTGATTATACAATTTGATTTTGATATACTTTTTACCAAATACAAAGCAAATTGCCACTTATTACTGTACAGGCAGAAAACAAAATCTGCTTACTGCACTGTAAAAGTTCTATGATCCACTGATTATGATTACGAGTCCAATCAGGGTTTTGTTATGGAGTTATGTATCTGAAGGGAAACGGTTTGCAATACCAAAACAATCTGAATGGTCTAAAAGAGCAAAATCATTTTAATAATAATCCTTGCATTTGATATAGCGCTTCTTCATGTCTTCGAGACGTCTCAAAGTGCTTCACAGAATATACTGTAAAGTGTAATGACTGAATGACTGCTTTTTGTGGGCGAATCGCGGCAGCCGATTGCACACAACAGTGTCCCACAAACAATTGTGGATTTTGAAAGTATTATTACCCTCGGAAATGCAATTGACTAACGACCGGGTTACTACTTACTGCTAGGTAAACAGAATCATGTGGAGTAAGGAAACTTGCCCAATGTTTTGCCCTGCCCGGGTATCCAACCCAGGTCCTCTCGCTTGCAAGGGGAGTGCTCTAACCACTAAGCATTTTAACACAACTACAGGTTTACAAATTACCTCCCACACACCATTCACTTCATGGCTGTTATTGGGATATTGCTGTGCTGTTGTGGTTGCCTGGCTCTTTTGGATACCTCTACGATGTGATAAGATGCTATATCAAATGCAAGGATTATTATTATTTCCATAAATCCTATGAGATATTCATCCTACATGAAATGCACTATCCCAAATGCAAGGAATATTATTATTAATATTGCAAAGCAGAATGCTCCTCTTTTTACTGTGAAGTGTGTGACTGTGTATTTAAGAGCTACCAAACCAAATTACCGAGAGTTCCACATTTGTATGGTTTCCAATTGGAATGAAATGTACACTCCCTGGTTACCTAACACCAGAGAGTATTAGGCACAGGCAGGAGCCAGAGCAGAGGTCCCCCAGTGTGCAATGGATTATTGCTGGTGTTTAAGTAGCTAAAAGATTTGAATATTGACAAGCTTCCTGCTTGTCCAGCTAAATCCACCCTATCCATGGAGGCTTTGGCTTGCAGGGTTAACATGAGCCGAATAGGAAAAATCCCAGCCACCAGTCTGCTCCTCCAAGCCCTGGTGACAAGCCAGGCTTGCTGGTCTGTCTTCAACAGTGCCCTGGAGTACTGCGAACCTGCCTGGCTCAGGCCTTCCAGATGCCACAGAGGACTGATTCTGATATCCCATTGCCAGGCGTGCATGTCACCTTGGAACTAACTCAATCCAAAGAGGGTCTGCTTCCCCCTCCTCCCCAGAAGATAATTGTTAGTTGTCATTAGACATCCGACATCTGCATCAACTTTGAAAAGGTATTGCCAGAAAAAATAATAATCTTAGAGTAGAATAAAGTGCCTTACAGTCTCAACAATGGAGCAGGAATTTCTTCCTTTATGTGGAGGAGTCTTGGATAATGCAATGTATTTCTCATTCCATGTGCTAGACAAACTTCCTTCTGTTGGGGACAAACACAGAGCTGTTGAAGGCTGAAGGTAGGAGACAGCATCCTGTTTCTTTTCTACTGTTGACTCAGTTACAGTGACATCAGGTCAACAGCAGACAGACTCATAAGTGTAAAAAGACGACTTGATATAGCTGGACATCAGCCTAACACTATGGTCCCACATCTATCCCACTCCCACCGTGGGAAAAGGTAGGTGAATGGGACTGACTGGATGGCACATAATACATACAGAAGTCGCTGGGAACACTCAGCAGGTCAAGCAGCATCTAAGGAGCGAGGAAAGCGAGTTAACATTTCAGGTCGATGACCATTCATTGGTTCCAGTTCTGACGAAAGGTCATCGACCTGAAACGTTAACTCACTTACCTCTCTCCTTGGATGCTGCCTGACCTGCTGAATGTTCCCAGCGACTTCTGTTTTTATTTCAGATTCCCAGCATCTGCAGTATTTTGCCTTTTGGCACATAATACCTGTTTACACATGGTATGCAAATGCAGGTGTGTTTACACATGACACATAATTCATCTGTGTTCACACATTGTTTGCACTTGGAACATAATAGACCCCATTACAGACGCAGTTACCACCCCATGACCTGTCTCACTGAGTCAAAAACTCCACAGCGAGATGGAAGCAAAGATTCCCATTCTCCCCAACCTCCCTCTGGTGAGAGCAGCCACACACTGCCAATACCACATTCAAATTCTCAAGAAACCGCAGTCAGTCTATGGGGAACATCAGTTGAATCGCTAACCAGCTGCACACCACAAGGGAATTCCTTACAAAAACCCTGGAGATGTAGAAGAAATGGTCGTATCAGGCAGATTTGTTTCAAATCAGATCCACATAGGAGGTTCCCCTGTCCCGATGCCAGACAGTGACAGGCGGCTTGTCCCTCCTACTGGACTCTGAGACATGTCTCTCCCCACAGACAGGAATGCGTCGCTCCCTCCACCCGTGTACAATGAACAGACAATTAGTTTTTTTTTACCTTTCAAACTGACGAGAGCCTTTGCTGAAGAGCCTGGAATAGACAGAATGGTATAAAATTAAACGCAGACAGATCAAAGCTCTAAATAAGAGACAAGAGCACTTCACAGTAACTGGAATGAATGAATGCATTACACACCACTGCCCTAAAATAGTTATTCCCTTGCACAATCTCTGTGAATGCACAGATCATATCGCTGCTCAGCTCTTCCATTTAAGGGCTGCTAAGTTACACGTGAAAAAGAGAATACTGAAAGCAGTGGCAGAGAGCAGGAGAGTGTTAGTCTAGTTTGCTTGGTAGCAGTCACATCCCTAAGTCAGAAGGTTGTGGGCTCAGGCTCCCACGTCAAGATTTTGAGCTCACAATTACACCTGATAGTGCTTGGGAGAGTGTTGCATTGCCAGTTGAACGTGTCATCCTTTAGCTAAGCTGGTAAACCAAGGTCCACCTGTTCGTCCACAAAGACACACTCACTACACTTTAAGGTCAAGTAGAGGTTCCATAGAAAAAAGAGCAAGCGCTCTCGACTCATAAGCGAGAGGACCCAGGTTTGTTTCCCAGGCAGGGCAAAACTTTAGGCAAGTTTCCTTAATCCTCATGACTGTTTGCCTAGTTGTTAGTCAATTGGTGGATTGCTTGTCGGGGTTAATAATTCCTAAAAAAAAATATGGTCACTCAATCCACCACTGTTTGTAGGACACGGCTCCACGAAATTTGCTGCCAAGTTTCACCCAAAAATACACAGTCAATCCACTTTACAATATATTTTGTGAAGTGCTTTGAGATGTTTAGTATAGTTTAGTATAGTTTTATTTTTATTACAATGATCTCTCTTCTTGTAAATTTCTCTGGTGTTATTTTCCAGGTTGGGCAATGAGTGCCTTGCCTCCTGTCCTCCTCTGTGCGATCTCCTCCAGGCCCCGCCGTCTCCATGCCTGTGGGCTGACTACGTCCCTCTAATTGCTTTGCCGTCAGACTTGGCGTGCGGGTTTTGGCTGCCACCCCTAACCCGAGCTGCTCTCCCCCAAAATGCCCCCATCCCTGTTCTCTGCCCCACATCATTCCCGCTCAGTCCTCCTCGCCTCCTATCCCCACTTGACCGTCCCACAGCCTCCCTCTGCTGCAGCCTGGGAATACTCCCCCGGGCCCACCGTGGCACCCCCCAGCAGCCACACTACCCCAACCCCTATTATCACCGCAAGGCCCACCTACCCAGAACCCGGGGTCAAACCTCTCCTCCCTCATCCACATTTCCACCCTCCTTGTCAATCCTCCCCTTTCCTCCTCTCATCTTGCATGTTCCTCTGACAACGGTCTCCTCCATATCGCCTTCAGCCTTTCTGCCACCATCCTTTGGAAATCCATCCCATAATCCCTTCGCCTCACTCCCTCCCTTGCCTTCAAGGCACGTCTCAAGACCCTCCTCTTCGATCGTGCCTTCGGGCACATTCCTACCCTCCCCCCTTTCTGATCCCAACCCCTGCTTGAATCCAAACCCCTGACTGTCCAGCATCCTGGGATAACCTCCCAACATGAAGAGCGCTATACAAGTGTAATTTGTTGTTGCGGTCTCAACGCTGCGATAAGGAACTATATCAAATGCAAGGATTATTATTATTAAATCCTGCTTTGAGCTATCTCACCAACATAAGGCTCGTTGACTTATCAGCAGGATTGTATTGTAAAATGCAACAATTATTATTTGTTGTTAAACTAGAGGCCTCAATTGGAGGAAAACGCCAGTGCTATAACATACTGTAATATGGAATTTGATGCTTTTTNGTTATTCACCACAAAAACCTTACATGCCTGCCTTCTGAAACCACATCACAGTGTTGTGTAATTCTGCCCCCTTCCAACCACTAAGAAAGTGAGGGTGTTTTCCGTTTTTCACAGTACATCCTGGGTAGAACATCGCTGCCCACAGAGAGATTGTAATACACCAAGGTGCCACGAACAACTCTTCACTGAATTCTTGCTTATAAATGTCCTTAATGTAACCTGCGATCATGAGTCTATTAACGTTGTGAAGAAAATTACACTCTAGCCCAGGGCCTAGGCATATGACTCCACCAAGCTTGGGCAGCAATAACAATAATCCTTGCCTTTCCCCACCTCCGCAACATTGCCCGTCTCTGACACTGTCTCTCACTGTAGGCCGCCGAGACCCTCATTCACACATTCATTACACCCAGGCTCGACTACTCAAACTCCATGCTTGTCGAACTCCCCAACTGCTCCATCCATAGGCTGCAGAACATCCAGAACCCGTGACCGTTCGCGCACCAGGCTCCATGACACTATCACAACCATCCTTGCCCGGCTCCACTGGTTCCCCATCGCTCAAAGGATACAGTTCAAGATCCTGGTCTTCATCTTCAAAGCCTTCCATATCCTGCTCCTCCCTACCTCCGTGACCTCCTAACCCCCTACCAACATGTCAACTTCTTCCACTCAGCGGTCTCAGGCCTGCTTCACATCCCCCACCTTGCCCACCTCAGCAGTGTTGGGTGGGCATTCAGCTTCTCTGCCCACACCCTCTGGAACTCCATCCCACAGACCCTCTGCCCCGCCCCTCCCTTGCCTCCTTCAAGACCCTCCTCTTCAACCAACCCCTACCCTCCCCACCCTCCACCCTTCCTGATCCCAAACACCAGCTCGGGTGCAGATTCCTGACTGTCCAAAGCTTTAGAACGTCCTCGTGAACAGAAAAGCACTAGACAAATGTAATTTGTTGTTGTTGCATTTAATATAGCGCCTTATCACATTGTTGAGACATCTCAAAGCACTTCAAAGAATATATTGTAAAATGAATTGACTGTATATTTTGTGAGTGAAACACGGCAGCCAAGTGGAAATTGCGGTGTCCCACAAACAGTTGTGTATTGAGTGACCAATTTTTTTTTTTTTTTGAGTGATTATTACCCCCGGAAAGTGATCCACTATTCGTCTAACAACTGGGTCCCTACTTATTGCTTGGTAAACAGAGGCACATAGAGTAAGGAAACTTGCCTAAGGTTTCACACCACCCAGGAATCAAACCAGAGTCCTCTTTCTTGCAAGGCGAGCACGCGCTAACTGGACTCAACAAGAACAACAACTAGCGCCCTTAGTAGCATCCCGGAGCGCTTTCCACAATGTGAGAAGGGTAGGTCCCTTCAATCTGCTCAATAATGGGCATTTTCATAACCACTTGGCACAAGGCCTATATTGTGATTTAGACTCAGAATGTTGCGGCAGAGCATCAATTGACATTAGAGTGGTGGAGGTGGCATCCTTCAGGTAAGTCATTAAACAGCCTCCCTGTTTAGGTGGATATTAAAGACACTGCAATACTTTTGGAAAAACAAAGGGTCTTTCTTCTGGCGTCCTGGCCGACAATCTTCCAGAAAATTGTTCATTCATTTGTTTGGAACCTTGCAGTGTGTGAATTGGCTTTGGCAGTGTTAGGTTCTGTATCAAATGCAAGGATTATTACTGAGCCCGGACTTCTGAATGAAACCTTCCTTCTTCAAAAGTTCAGAGCAAGAATTTTAGGTGAAACTTTTTCTTAAAAAACATTCAGGAACTTTAAGGAGACGAGCACAGTCTATAGTTGCGTTCTCAGCCACTCAAACATTAAATATTGCTTCATTTTCCAGAGCTTGGGATCATCTCTGATCTCCTACTACCCAACTAATCACTCACTCAATGTTTCACCATCGCTAGCTTGCTTTTGCTTACTTTGCCCCCGCTCTCTGGAACTCTCTCCCGAAACCCTCCATTTCACTCCTTCTCCATTCTAGTTTGAAAACCTGTCTAATACTTTTCTGACTTTGCCTTCAGCCACCTCTTTCTTACCCCACACTGTCCCACGCCTTCAGCCACCTGGTTATACCTCTCTCCTCTATTCCCCCTCCCCTTCACTCAGCTGGATCTGGCCTCCTGCACGTCCTGCACCCATCAGCGACCGTGATTTCCGCCACTACAACCCCGAGACTCTGGAACTTTTTGACTCAATCTCTCCCTCCACCTGGCTCCTTCCTCTTCAGCAAGGCAGGGACCAGGAACTGTCATTTGATCCAGGTCTTCATATACATATCTGAACAATGAGCGACCAGTGAGGATGGTAGAGAGGGACAGAGGACTGCACTTCTGTCCTCATCTGACAATAGACCCATTTCCCAACAAAAGTCACTGGTCCGCTAATTCCCTCGCTTCCTCTGCTTATACTCCACTCCTCTCTGCTCACCCCACTCCGTTCAGCTAACACAGGCCTGTTGCATAGTGCAGACCTACCTGGTAGAATCGGTGGCTGAGCCCTCAACACTTAACTCCAATCTCTGTAACTTCTTATCCCTACGCCTCTGCCTCACCCCCTTTCAACCATGTCTATGGTTACCTCCACCTCACTTGGCATCTAACCCAATAAGATGTTATTCTAAGTGAAGTGCCTCATATAAATGCATGCTGTTGCTTCCTTCCCTGCCTTCTCTGGGAGCAGAACAGCGGCTCTGGGGAAAGACCGAGTCTCTCCTAATTGGCTTCCCTCAGAACCTCCTCACCTCAGACGCTGACAGCATCACCATCCATGGTTGCACACTCCACCTTGCTAAACCAGTCTGGAACCATGGTGTCTTGTTTGACCCTCAACTATCACTCTACCCCACACCCGTGCCATGACCCGCTCTGCCTTCCCCCACCTCTGCAACATCGCCCGGCTCCACCACTGTCTCATACCGCAGGCCACCGAAACCCTCATACATGCTTTCATTACATCAAGGTTCAACTATGCAAACTCATTGCTTGTCGGTCTCCCTAACTCCTCCCTCCATAGGCTGCATATCAGTGGAGTCCTGTAGCTCAGTGGTTAGAGCACTCGCTTTGCAAGTGAGAGACCTGAGTTCAATTCCAGGCAGAGGGCGAAACCTTGGGCAAGTTTCCTTACTCCACACACCTAATAATAATCCCTCCAAAAAACCCAAAACAATAATAAATTGGTCATTTTCAATCTACGACTGTTTGTGGGACATTGCTGTGCGCAATTGGCTGCC